TTGTATTTTTGTTTTCTTTAAACTCACTGAATTTATATCTGTTAATCGCAACACACGTCAGGTTTCAAAAACATCAGAAACGTTCACGTTCATCATAACTATGAATAAACTAATCTCTTGTCAATTGAAAATCCAAATCGGAACTGAACATTAAAACGTTGAAACATTAGTATAATATAGTAAATATATAATATAATAAAGTTAGTTTCATAAACCATATCTCAAAGGATTGTTTATTTACCTCTTTTTTCACGATAACCTATCGAAATTGGCAATTAGTGAAGTATACACCAAAACGTGTTATGTATTTTTATGCCCAAACGTGTTCTACATTTACAGGTAAAAATAATGTACCTAAACGTGTTACGCCCCGCGAGATCAGGGTTGTCGAAATCGCGTAACACACACACAGTCACGGTGGTGACTTAATATCAAGATCAACCACTATTTAGGCAATGTAACTTCAACATGTAACATGTAACTTCTAGATATTGTTATGGAGTAAATTGTCTATATTAATGAATTAGGTTAGTAGTTTGTCATAGAATTTATTATAACGAGTCATAACTATTTCTCTCTCAATTGATTAATGTAGATTTTTGTGTAAGATTTGATTTATCAAATATCGAGAAGCATTAAATACAAATGTGATAAGTTTCAAAGCTATAGATTGGAAGGCATGCAATGATTTTATGTATGTTGATTTGGCGGGTCCCCGTATTGATATTGAATGGACTAAGTTGAATGGAACACAATGAAGTTAAAAAAATAACATGTTCCGTTGTGAAATCATTTCGTTTTGCTGTTGAAGTTATTTGATTTCGAACAGAAAACGACGTTGAATAAATAGGAAAAAAGAACGAAAATGCATAACGTGCGAGTCGTAAAGGTATGCGAGTAAAATGTAAGACGACAAACGTGGTCGAAAAAATACTCCGTCTGCCATACTTATTTAGATAAAAAATACAACTGAAAACGCAACACCAACGCAAAGTGAACTGGAAAACGCAAAAGACGACGAGAAAAACTGATAAAAAAATACGTTACCGACATTTTATAACAAATACGGCCTACATATCGGATGAACGTTCTAATAAAAAAAAAAAAAAAGGATCTAAACCGGGCACTATTTTCAAGTTGAACCACGGTAATTAGTATTGATACCAGGTAACAAAAATATTTTTAAATATTATTCTTTTATTAAAAATTATACCTATAGATATGGTTAAAAATAAAAATATTATATTTATCTAAATATAGATTATAAATTAGATTAATTCGTTTTTTCAAATATCAATAACGAAATATTTATATTATTATTATTTATTGGTGATTATGATTATAAATGTTCAAATAAAATATTTTAGTCATCTTCCAAGATCTTAACAGTGAATTAAAACTTAAAATCAAAACTCATCATGTTTAGTCTTTAAAACATAATTATCAAAATATAACATTTTAAATACTTAAATTATTATTATTTTATTAGATACTAATTTTTGAAATAACATCCTTATATTCATAAAAACAAATTAGTGCGCTTAATAATTATATATAAACATTAATTTATATATAAATAATGATCATATATAATACCTAGGTAATTTGTATTATCTTATTTACTTGTCAACTATCCGAAAATATACATACACACACTATTAGGTTATATTACTTTTTAATAACACTTTTGAACACTTATAGTAATTAATAACGACGAACATTTTCGATAAATCTTACTTTTAGACAATTAGTTGAACAATTTTCAATTATTTATTAACATACTGGGTATATACCTCAAATTAATTTTATATGTATATATATTAAATATCTGTTCCTAGAATAGTTTTATTAATTTTAACTAATTCGTAACAATTCAAAATTAATCAGGGATATAAAATTGTTCACCTTTAAGATCAAATGTATTTGGATACGTTTCATAAAATGTACATGGAAAAGATAAGCTATAAGAAATTGTTAACTAGATAATCTCAATACTAGTGGTAATGGCCGGCAACTAAAAAATGTTGAATACGTACAGCGCAGGCGCACAGAGAAAACCGAAAGACTTAAAATGCGGTATAATGATAAAAGGTTGTTGGCGGTTACAACGCAAAAAGACGTATCTCCAACCACGGTTGCGAAAATGATAATCACCACTATTCTTACCTTGGAAGAAAAATGTCCCTTTGTTGTATGTGGGTAATGTAACGCGCGCGTTCTGGTCGGCATGACCGATGGAGATACGTTTTCGTTACGTACGAAAAATCTTAGTTTTAGTTGGCTTGTAGTTTTTTTTTATTTTACTTTTATTTTTTTCGTATGTGCGTATAATACTTTTGTTTGACGAAAAACGTCTAGTTATCCTTTTTGTCCGCTTTTCAGTTACAGGTAGTATTTCACAATCGCTCGCGAACATCGCAAACACTGTTGAACTTATCGACACGAGCACCGTGCGTTTCGCATGAACGGTTCAGCCATTCGGACATGAGATATCGGTGAACGCGCGCTGGTAATTTATTATTTCATTCGTTATCTTTGTTCGTCCGTTCTCTAACACATTTGCGGGACAGTCGATGTTTTCTGACAAAAAGTTTCGCGAATTCGATCCAGCGGACTGCGGGGGATATAACGAGTGCGATAACGCGCTACGGTAACAGCATCGGTACCGGAAGAGAGACGAGCGTATGATTATCGTCCAGTTGTTCGGGACGACACCAAGTACCCGTGAACACACGAATAATAATCATCGATGTTGTGTGACGTTTTGCGCGTGCGGTTACGGGCCGGAATCTGCGAACACCGGTGTTAAATTTAACAGGCGGGACGGGACGCGCAGAAACATATGTGTCAACGTGAAAGGTAATGTTTAGGGGTAACATTGGCTACCCTGTACAGTTTTTATTACGGTAGCGAATCGACCATGTTTCATTACTGATTTTCTTTAAAAAAAAAAAAAAAAAAAGAAATAACGATTTAAAGATTTATTTATACAATTCACTGTAAAACACATATAATCGTTATATTATGGTGGTTACGTGTATATTTCGAGTGTAAGTGAATTAATTAATCAGTTCAGTTATTTTTTTTGTTAAATTAATTACAACGTTTAAAATATCAAACATTAACCACGGTCATAAATACAAATTCTGAACATTCAACCATAGGAAATACTATTAGTGTGATTTGAATTGAAAAATTGCTTCTTAAATCAGGTAAATATTTATTATAAATATGGCATTGACTCTAGTTGACTCTATGAGTCTGTATACATACACTGCACGGTATTCTGTAGTTATTCTGATTGATAATCGCGTAATAATTTCAGTTCTAATAATTTGTTTTCTTTTTTAATTTGTCTATGAAAACACCAGACATTTGCGACTACGGCTTTGGTATTTTAAAATCTAGTTTTATTTTTACGATTCGTAATTCGAATCCCCGTATAATAACTATGGTACGAAATTGTACGAAAAATATTGTGTATCGTCATAGAATCGTTATCGGTAATATGATAACATCGTCGGGCATACATATACTCCGATCGCTCAAGATAGAGAACAAATAAAGATATACCGTTTTCGTTACATCACATGACATTTACGGCCGAGAAAAATACAGTAAAAGTTTATACGCATATCCAATTCACCACCGGCTGGACTCGTTAAATAGAAATACAATCATTTTTACTAAAAACTTTTTAATCGTATAAAATTTAAAATCTTAGCAAATACCTGGTAATATGTAACATGTCTAATTATAATGTTATTCTATAGAAATAATAATAATAATATTTTACACTTGTACAGTTTTAAATGATAAATGGTATTAATAAAAGTATATTGCCAGCTACAATTTGTGTATGTAATAAATATGTATAAATTATTGTTTTTTTTTTTCTGAAGATCTTTTAAAAACTTGATTTTCCATAATTGTAAAATCTCTGGAATATAAATTATATTATAAACAAATTATGTGATATTTTTATTCGTAAAAATAACATTTCTTTTTTTAAATGAAAATTCCACTTTTCCATAAAATAAAATACGTTGCGAAGAAAGTTTTGTTGAATATAAATACATGAAAAATATGTTTAATAAACCCGAACATAATAATTGTAATTACACCGCAACGACCTTGAAAGTTAATTATATTAAATTCCGATTAAGTACGTTGTAAATCACTGTCAACGACTCAAACCATGTAATTGATTAACTACCTGGGTGTGTATATATATGTATATGTATAAATAATTGCAAATAAATACCAATCAACTTTGTGTTGAAATCGATGCAAATTGTACGGTTGCAAAATAAGATCAACGAAATTATATAATGTACAAATTCGTATTGCATAGCGTTGTATAAATACGTATTACGAGAGCGTCACGTATAAAATATTTTTTTATTTCCTTTTATACCAATTAAATTAATTATTTTAAAAATGTATACTTTAAATATAATTTTTAGTAAATAATTGGCTTAACACAAACGCTGCAGGAATTTTTAAAGATTGAATTTATAAGTGCGTAATAATTTCAGTTCTTATAATTTTATTTTATTTTTTAATTTATCTATAAAATCATTCTTACTCGACCTCTGCAACTCTGTAGCTATGGTTTGGTTAGGTTATAATTTACAATAAATTAATCTCCAACCTTCTTTGAGCGGGACTATAATTAGGGGTATGAAATTTGTATACATAGTAAATAATAAATATATAATCATTACGCCTATAGCTTCTAATAACATTTTTAATATTTATATATATAACAATTAATTAATTCGGATTTAGAAAAAGCAGTCGGCTGTTTCCGAATAATATATTTTCTTTGTCGAAACGCGAGCGTATGCATTTTGCCGTATTTAATTCACAAAACACTTGGTCGACCGCCGCCGTTGAGTGGGACGGGAAGACTACTTCACGTTAAACTCGAAACAAATGCAACGCGCGTTTAGCGGTTCAATAAAATTATTACAGCACATGTACGTGAATTAACAAACCATGTTCTTTCGTTAACGGCTAAATGTTCTCGAATACATTTTTCGTTTTTTAACTGCATGGTTTTTTTTTATATTTTCATCACCCGCGACGTATTGCCATGAAGGAGCAGCCGAACATACGGAAACCAGAAAACGATCTACCTACCTGTAATGAACAAAATAATAATAATAATAATTATAATTATAATTATAATAATAATAATAATAATGATAATAATAATACTAAAAACTATAGAAACATGGTTCTAACCATACAATAGAGGTGTATGTATAATCGATATTTCCACCGTTGCCGGTCGTGTTTACCAACACCATGATATAATTTACATACGTCGTAGTATTGCATACGTATTATAGAATTACGCGATAGACATGCGCACCCAGCCGGCGAGAGGCGGTCCACGTTAATATTAATCCTGTGGTCAAGAGACGCTGCAGTGATATATATGGGGAATACAAGGTTACCCTTTATGGTAATATATTATAAGTTTTTTTTTTTCACCATAATCCATGCATACGTTTACTTAAGCATCCATGCGCGTACGTACGAATAATGTTACGGCTCCTTTGCAATATTCTTCCACGTGCGGTACTTGCCGACCGTAATAATCCGGATGTGCACTACTACATCGCACCATTTTGCGTACTTCACCTGTACATCGGGTATTTTTTTTTAAAAAATGTATGATTTCAATGTGTTATTTATTTACAATACTGATTAAATCTTGGTAACATAATAAATTATATAATTCTATCGTAGGATCTACTAAAATCAGTTACTGTACATCATTCAAAAGTTAGATGAGGCCAACCTCGCAGTAACGGTCCAACCTCGCAGTAACGGTTTACTATTGGTATATTCCGTTTACACTATCTAGTATACCTTAACTGTGACATGTGACACGGTATGTAATGTGAACACGTTTGCAATTCCGTGTTCCGCCAATAGTACGTCTGAGGTCGCAATAATATGTTATTATTTATTTATTATTACTTCCATTTTTCCCCCCGGTCCATTATCTTTTAAGTGCGTAGTTAGAGAGGGCTCCTTTGGCATGAGAAACGTTTTGTCCAAGAGACAGACTCCACCGTATCCCCTGGAACACGGCCAGAAACCACCCTCGTCGGCCGGAATCGATATCACCCCGGGACTCGGGACTGACTCTTGCACTGTACACGCACACACTGGCAAGCACGTGCACATAAATTCGTACTCGCCGGGTCCACTGGTTTTGTGTGAACGTATACATTTTATCTTGATTGGGGGAGTTGCAAGGAGAGGACAGGAAAAGAAAAAATATAGAGGGTGAACGAGATGTGACCCAAAAGTTTGTGTGTGCTTGTTGTGTGCACGTATGTATGCGTGTATATATATCTATATAACATGTATTTCTTTTTTTTTTTTTTGGTGCCAGGTCCCATTTGTTTGCTTTCACGTTTATTCGCATTGTTGCGAGGGATGTGCCTGGGACTTGTTTTTATTTATTATTGTTTTTTTTTTCTTTCTTCCATCTGTCGGAGTATTGTATCGTTTCGCACTAGCAATAATAGTGTAGTCTCGGCGCGCAGTAGCCACTAGTGATAAAAGTAGAACGTGGTATAATGTGTTGTTGCACTACCGATGATATGGTTCAACTTTCGAGAGCAAATGAAATCGCATAAGCGACATCGTTACCGCTACCGAAGTAACGGTAAGGTACCCGTGAAAATGATTTAGCTTACCCGGGTAACGATGTAGAACTCGCGCTTGCATAAATCATTTGGTACGACCAGCTAATCATATTCGAAGGAGTACTCGAAATTTCAAAGTACCATCATGGGAAATGGTTATAAATCAAATTTGATTGTTTTCAAGTTGTTTAACTTGTATATTTCTTTCGGTATTTTATTTTACAATAAATCGCTAGAAAACGATAATAATTTTTAGACTTCTTGTTCATAGTGAATAAATTCTGAAATTTAATTTTTGTGTTTTTTTTTTTTTTTTTGGTATTCAAACAAACGTCTTAGTGTAAAAGTTTCTTTCGACAATCATTACTATTTTATCGGTGTGTGTATGTGTGTAAAAAAAAGACCCGTAGAAAATGAATGAACAGTAGGTCAGAAAAGGTAAATTACCAACACATGCTTTCTATTTTTATGACGTAACCTTTTTTTTTTCATGTTTTTAATTTTATTTGTATGTTCTTTAAATGTCACGCCTATCTCATTTTGGTTAAAAAACAATGAACAGAAAAATGATTAATACGCGCGCGCGCACACACACACACACACACACACACACACACACACACACACA